TGCCCCCCCGAGTGCCTTTAGGGTGACATCATGTCTCACGTTGAAAGAGCACTGGGATCTCAGCAGAGAGCTGCGCACATGGGGAAGCAGACAGAGAAAGACAGAGTAAACAGAACATGCATTCAAAACCAGTATGTTGGACTTGCAGCACTGGTCCAGCTCGTTTAATGGCTGGCAAAGGAACCGCAGTCTGGGGTGTCTGATGAAGGTCATCACTGCCTCAGGCAGGATCCAGATCAAGTCCTCACCCTGTGCCCTTTCTTGTAGGGAATTCCTGATGACTCCCGGGATTTTCCCTCCATTGTGAATAGATTACAAGGTTTCTCCCTCACTGCAAAGCATCCACTAAACCTGTTCAGGACTGGAGCACTGTAGGCATAAAGGGAGACAGCAGCCCAGGGGATGGAACACAGAAGCAGAAAGCTGGAGAGATGGTGCAGTGGGAGGTGACAGGGAAAAGGTTAAGGGCCAGAGTGACTTTGTGAGCAGAGAGAAGCAGCAGCACAAGGTTTTTACTGTCCTATGGCAGCAGGGAGGGTATGACAGAGAGCTAAACAGCGACGATGGCCTCATCTGAAAGCAGACCCTGCTGACTCACCGGCTGAGTCACAGCCTTGCCCGGCCTCTATTCTTTTCCCAATCAAGGAAATAGCAACTTCCCACAAACTTCTTTTAAGGCTGCCATACAGATGCTGAGCATTCCTGCACCAGGCCTTGACGATCCCCTGTGCCCTTCCATGTCTGTAACGCAGTGGGAGGCACGATCCTTCAAAGCACATGGTGTCCCAAGGGAGGAAATGTGCCGCAGCCTCTCCTAAGCAGACATGGGATTTACTGCTGCTCGGCCCATGCACACTGTGCCCCGGTTGGCAAAAGACAGGCTCTTACAGGAAGGGAGACAAGGGGGAAATCCAAGCTGGGAGATTTCCATTCTGGCACCGAACCTCTGCCCTGATGGGAGAAAATGCTCATGTTCATGGTACCGTGCTGCTTTGAAAGAGGAGGCTGCATACCCTGATGCTGTACTTTAAGGGTGGGCAGAAGATAGCCCCAGAGTCTACAGTGGGACACCCAAAAATTCAGGAAAGAAAACTGCCTTGACTAGATTTCCATCTGGATTCAGAAACAATCAATGAAAAGCAACAGTTAATAGTAATGTTACAGATGGAGGAAAGGGGAACCAGATAGCAAAGAAGAGTATACATGAGAAGCTTTAAAGAACAGAAAAATGACAGAGGAAACACAGGGGAAAATCCCTGTATTGGGCTAAGAAGGCATTTTTAAAATCCATTAGGAATGTAAGGAATCTTCAGAATGCTACAGGCCAAGGAGTAGTTGAGAAAAACATTAACAAAGTTCCAAACAGGCACAAGATTTTTATAAGCCTCTCTGTTCTCTTTCAGAACACTATGACTTTTGCAGTCTTGCAATAATCTCAGAGAAGGACCAGCACTTAGGAGTGACCTGCATCCTAGAGCACTGAGATAACCAAAGAATGTTGGTCTTCTGGTGTAATCCACAAGAAAATATAAAATTGCACTGAGAATATGTACAGGTACAATAAAGAACTGGGGACAATAACCAGGAGGTCATGCCAGTGACACCAGCAAGGGATCTCTTTCCAAGACAGGTGCCTTTACACAACCAAACATGTTTGGGTTTTTTTTCTCAGCTCAAAGACTACATGGAAGTTTCTAGGCCAGAAAGCAACAACCCTGAGAAGGATTCAAGAGTCACCATGGACACACACCTGGATTCAAGCACCCAGTGTAGTTTGGGTAAGAAGGCCAGTGTGATCCTCAGATAGATAAACAACTGTGTAGAAATCTGGAGGAATAAAGTGATTTTATCTCTCTAGTTCACATTAGCAGAGCTGATGCTGAAACAGTACTTATATTTTTGATGTTGATAAATTGGATAGGGAGCAAGAAAAAGCTCTCAAATAATTGGTGGAAGGAAACAATTCTAAGAGACTAGAAGAGCCCAGTCTGTTTACCTTATCCAAAGGCAGTTGCAAGACTACATTACAAAATATAAATAGCTGTTGAGAAAAGAGGCTTTGAAAATTACTGGAGAAAGACACAACAGGCACCCATGGTTAGGAATAAAGCCAACTGAAATTAAAAATCAGGTGCAGTTTTAAACTGTGAGGATAATTAATCACTGGAGGAAACGTAAAGGGAAGTGGTGATTTCTCCTGCTTTTCATGTTTTCCATGCAGTACACCATACATTTCTAAGGGCTGCCACAGCCAAATTGCTCAGCAGAGGAATAAATGAGGGTGCATCCTTGGTGGCAATTACTGTGTGCAGAGATCCAAGGCTTAGCGTGCCACAGGAAGAAAGATGCCTTCATCCTTGAGCTGTTTTGTGATTAGAGCATCCATGGGAAGGGAGAAGACCTGGGGTTTTGTCACTGTCTGGTTGTTTAATCTGATGACATTTTAATGCATAATCCTGGAATCCAGGAATCCCTAGTTGCCGCCCATACCACTGAACTTGACTGGTGCTCCCTTCTATATACATGCTCTCTTTCTTGATGAATCTTTAATTCCTTCCCTTACATGGACCTAGTCAGCTTCAAAAATACAGGGAGAACATTCCTAAATATCAAAGCAGCCTAGAACTGCCTGACTGACAGGGCAGTGATTCTCCACCTGCAGGGTTGAGACTGCTCAGGAGAGGGCTATAGGATGTGCCTCAGAGGGCTGAGAGGCTGATCACGATACCCATGAGCGCTGGGAATGCTCTAATTATTGGATGAAAACTCTCTGAAAACTTGAGCTGGGGGATATATCTATTAGGCCTCGGTGAAAGCATGATGCTAAACTTCTTAGACCTAAATTAAGTCCAAACAAGTTATGGATTGGACAAAACTGTGTTTAGAGATCTTTAAAACCAAACATTGTGGTTAACCTGTGAGGTTAGGTGCCTCTGCAACAAGACCACGCAGGGATTTTCAAGAGTCTGGACTCAGGAACCTCCATTCTACCAATACCCTTCTAGTGCCCAAGTCTTCTAAGGAAACCAAACCTTTGGTCATAAAACATGTCTGTAACTATTTGTACTTTACATTGATACACACAAGCTGAGGGAAGGGAAGTACCTTGGGGTTTGTGGGGAACAATTTTGTCCAAAGACATTAAGCTAGTCATTTATTATTCAAAGAATAATTGTATCTGTTCAGAGCAGGAACTGTGCTAGTTTTTTAGCTCTCACCTTCAAGTAATCCTCCACGAAAAGAATGGTTGCCATCTACTATTTCCTAACAGCAGAAGTCACTTCAGTTTCTGAGATCTTTAATCAGGACTTGATACTTTATTCCAGATAGATATTAAAACTGAACAGCAGGCACTGGCCTCAGGACATACTACTGAGCAAAATACAACATTCTGCTGCACCAAGACAGTTAAATTAGTGTAACAGTTCCTCCTGATTTAAAGTCCACAGATTTGTAATCTATGAATAACACCCACCATCGTAAGATGATGCCCTGATTTCAGGCTGCTGTGATCTGTAGCCCGACAATACTGAATTCCCAACAGCCCAGCTGGAAAGCCAGACTCCTCTGTGAGGTTGGATCTTGAGTCTAAACTGCCAGTAGTGAGAGAAATCATAAACCCATTTCACAGGGTGCGGACTGAGGCTTTCAGATAAGAAAATGCAACTGTGGATACTTTGTTACTAACAGGTGTAGCTCTTGGGAAATGACATAGTGATTATTGTTACTATTTCCCTGACTTCTGAGTGAAGCTGAACATTTATGAAAAGTTGATTAAAATAACTGGTTTCTTTGTTTACCAAGGGCCCACTTCTTCCAAGTGCTTTCTCTGAGGGCTCACTGACGCAGAAAGTGTCATTTGCGCTGCTACTGTAGCTCTCTGGATAACAGTATCTTCGGGGACCTCTTGTGGGCTCTCTTCTGAACTGTATGTTGGGTGAAGAGCACTCAGGAAAATGTTGCCATGCTAATTTATAGATACACCAAAAAGCCTTTTACTTCACACGCCTTCACGTGAATTCGCAGAAGTCAGGTAATAACATGCATCTAAAAGTAACATAAAACACAAGAAAGGAACTGCACTTTAAGGGGGGAAATGTGATCCCTAAGTGATGCTCATTATTTATTTGGCTTCTTTACAGAGCAGCAATGAATATACACCATGTAAAGGAGCCCTTTGTAAGCGGAGTGTGGGGTGGGGGCAGACACCGACACAGGAGACTTGCTGACTGCCAGTTGGGCTTAGGCTGATGTTACTAATACACACCTCTGCGCAAAGAGGATGACTAAGGCATTCCCTCTTCCTCTGTCTGTCATTGCTTCTATCCTCTCCCATCATCCCCACAAGGACCCCAACCCTATCTCCCTAACCCCTTCACTCTTCCGTGGCCATTTCCTTGTCCCTCCTCCCATTGACACCCAGATCGAGTACTCTGAAGCCAAGAAGTGCTGGAAGTGCTGTTTCACATAACGAACACACCACCCTTTTCCAAGCCTCCTACATCAAGCAAACAGCCTCTGGGCAGACTTCTTGGAGAGGCGCAACTTGCACATCTATGCAGGAGCTAATTTGTGAGAGAAGACCGGAAGGTGGCTTACACCAGGAGGTCACAGTGAGGCTGCAGTATGCCTCCAGGCCCTCGCCTTCTGCCTAATTGTCCCCCGGCCTTCCCTCAGGGCCTGCCCAGCCCCCAGCACCGGCCGGAGCCCTGCAGCCTACCAAGGGGAGGCCTTGTCCGGGCGGGACCAACGCAGGGCCACGGCCTAGCAGCACCTCAGGGCAAACCCGAGCCCGCAGGACGGCCGCCCCGAGCTGGGCTCGCCCAACCGCGGTCTGAGAAGAAGGAGATTGGGAGAAGACCCCGCCACCGCCCCGCAGGCACCAACCCTGCCCCAGCGCCCACTTCCGCCTCGGTAGCCATCATGGCGGCCGCCCGCCGCCCTCACGTGACGGCCCCGAGGCCCTCTCTATGGTAAGTCTCCCTTCGGCGGCGGCTTCCGCGACGTTGCGTCTGTAGTTCCCGCGCGGCGCCTTGTGGGCGCTTGGCGGAGTTATGGTGGCGGTGTAGCGCCCAGTTGCGCAGGGAGGGAGGAAGGAGGCCGCGGTGAGAGTGCGCGGGGAGGCGGCCAGCCTGGCCTGACCGCGGAGGGAGGGAGGGAGGGAGGGAGGGAGGGGTGGGTGCCTGCGGGGCGGGAAAGGCGGCCCTGCGGCAGGGGGGTCCCTGGGGTGGGCTGGGCTGTGGCCGGGCAAGGTGGGTCCTCGGGGCGGGTGGGCGGGAGCGTTCCTGTGGGGAAGAGCGGGGGCCGGCCGGTGGGGCTCCGGGTGCCAGGCGGGAGCCGCCGCGCTGCCTTCCCGCGGGGGGGGCCCCGTGAGGGCGGTCGGGAGGCGACGGCGGTAGCGCAGCCCTCGCGTGGCCGCGGCGGTTCGGCTCTAGGCCGAGCCCGGTCGCTTTCCCGTGGCAAATAACCGCTGCGTGGCCCGTCCTGTCTTCGTGTGGTGCTGAAGAGGCTTCTCCAGGGCTGTATTTCCAAAACCTGAGAGGTCGGTGTGACAGTCCCTGAGTGGTTTGAGGTTGAGTTTGGATCCTTTAAAGCCAACCTGAATACAAACTGACTACAGAGGAGCAGGGACAATTTCCAGGAGATTTGTTAATGCTTCACGAAACTGTGCAGCCACATTGGATCAGGTTTTTCAACAGTATTTGTGGATCACTCCCTCCATTACATATAATTAGTACAGATAAGTTCTGAGAGTAAGTGGCTTTCTTGGATCATGGATCTGGCAGAATCTGTGATGATACAAAGCTAAAATGTCTTGCTGAGCTCCAGCTGACTTGCACAGCACCACTGAAAAACATCATCAGTCTTTGGTTAACAGGCCAAGACTAGTTACTGTCTCGCTTCTTTTTAAAAGTGTTTCTGTCTATTCATTTTGTTTCATAAGTAGTAGTTCAGTGGCAGTAGCTGTGTCCTCCCAGATGTGATGTTGCTTTGATTGACAAATTATTTTACAATTTTAACACAGAAGTTACATGTTTTGTGATCTCATTAAAAGTGAAAAAATAGCAAATAAGGTAAGCAGAGCATAAATAACTTATTTGTGTATCACAAAAGCATATGGAGCAATATAATGTTTTTTTTTTTTTCTTTCTTTCTTTTTAATATTCTTTAATATGTTCTCTTGTCATCCTTTAACATCCAACCTTCTGGTTGGTAGAACTGGTACCTTTAAGTATCTCTGCAGATGTATCTCTCTTGTTTTGTCTATATCTTTAGCCTATGGTTAATGGATGTGCATGTCTTTGTGAAGCAGGAATGAACAGAGTTTTGGAAAGTAGATTTAAGATGGCACCAGTTGGTCATGCAGGGATATTTGGCGTTGGTCAACCATCTCTTGACACAGTGGTTTGGGATTAAAGGGTCTCCAGCTCCTGTCTGGCAGCATTGAGCACAGAGCACGCTGACAGGGTGTCTGTGTGGCTGAGGCTGGTCGAAGTTTGTTTCACTCCTTTCCCACAGAAAAATGGATGGTAGCGGTTTGGGGCATCAGCTAGTTGAATTTTTAGGACATGCCTGCAGTACAGGAGCTCCTGTAGTTTCTGAGTGAGAGCTGGTGAAAACTACATTTGCCAAGCTTTTTTAATTGCCCTTTGTTTACATAAGAGTAAAGCTGTAGGCCTTGTGCTACCAGGGAAACATTAACCCCAGCCCTTCTGAAGGATTTGGTGGCCAGCTGGAGCTCTGCACAGGTCAGTCCCAAAGGACTGTGCTGCAGAATCAATGACAGTGCTGTGCCTGTACGAGAGAACTGTACAGGACTGTGTGATGAGGGCTGGAGCATTCACATTCCGTGATCTTCATCAGTGTTCAGTTATCAACACCATCCTAGGCATGCTGTGGCCTGTGTCAGCCAGCATTTCTGGTGATGATACCTAGATATGGTTTGGGGAATAACAGAGGGGTCATTCCCAGGAGGCAGTCATTTTTGGCTATCATTTTTCAGGAGGGGAAAGAATTTAGTTACAAGACTCTACTGCTTGCCTTAAGGGTAGGAGACCAGCTCCTGGCCGGTTTTATTTACTTTACAAATATAGCTTCATATTCTTGTTAGAGTCTGTGTATCATCTTTCAAGCATGTTGGAAAAGACTTTACTTTGAAAATCTGAATAGATGCTGTCAAGTCTGTCAATAAAAAGCTCCTGAAATTCCTTGGCTCATGTGCCAAGTGACAGCTGGTATTCTGTAGTGGGGCTTGTCATTGCTTCTACAGTTCCAGGAACAAAATAGCTTCTGGCGAATGTCTTTCACTGCAAGTTGTAGTAACGTCTGTTTTTATCCCTTGATTCTGTAGCAGTTAAAATGACAACAGCAGCAAGGCCAACATTTGAACCTGCGAGAGGAGGAAGAGGAAAAGGTGAAGGAGACTTAAGCCAGCTATCCAAACAGTATTCCAGCAGAGACCTTCCTTCTCATACTAAAATCAAATACAGGTTAGTATTAAGGTTTTTGATCTTATGACAAACAGGCTGGGAATTATTTTTCTGTTATGAGCAGTACTCTGAAATTTTCACAATAGATGTTGCTGTGCTTGATGCTGAGCAGAGACCAAAGATTGTATGGCAGTGCTGAATGAGTGGACTGAAAGTGTAAGTCTCAAAAGCAGACTTGGGAGATTGAACGTGTTGAAAGTAACCAGAGCGGTTTAACTTAGTGGTATTTTAGTCCTGCTTATGGAAGTGAATCATCAGAAAAAGGTGAGCTTTGGAGACCAAGCATTTCAGGCAGTGGAGTGGAAAGAATGTCATTGGGACTGAGCCACAGAGGGTGCTGTTTCTTGCAGAGCAAGATGGGATAAGAGGAGCGAAGTTGAACATGTCGTAAAAGCAGGAGAACCACATCATGTATTTGGCAAAGGGCTACTTGAGAAGGGCATTAAGAGGAGGCAAGGAAATCATGGAATAGCACTCAGGCAGTAGTACATGTTGGAAGAGCTGGTGTTAAACACTGCAGGTGGCTCATGCAGGTCCTTGGAGAGGAAATTGCTTTAATCAGTGAGAAAGATAAAGGGATCTTAGGAATATTTTCATCTATTTGAAATGCATAATAAATCTTCGATATCCTTTTGGAAGATTAAATGAAATCTGGAGTCAATGCGATACAGATACCTAGAATTTAAGTGTGTCAGCTTACAAATATGTTTGGGTTTTTTTTGTCTTACTGATGTTACTCTTGTTAGTGAAATTACTGGTAAGGTGTTATATTTGCACTTTTTTGTGCAGACGTTTACCCTTTCACCTCTACCCTTCTGCACCTTTGGGTTTTAAGAATATGTATGGATAAGGGAGTTGGAGCGTTTTGGAGAGTACCAAAACGAACAGCACAAAAAGTACTGTCAAATGCATTTTGTTATTAGAAATAAAATTGCTGGTGGTTTGTTTCTTTAAACAAAAGTGGGGTTTGAAACACCAGTCTGTTGCTTTGAGAGAACTGGTGGGGACAAATATATACAGGAATATACAGTGTATGTTTTAACAAATCCCTCCATGTGCATGAGAGAGAGAGAGATGGAGGGGGTATTAAGTGTCTTCTGTTCTTTCTCCCAAATACCTAATACAGAGTTGTCTTTGTTAAATTGCCGGGGCTGCATCATTGCAGGAAAAGTTCAGTGTTTCAGTCCCACTCATGTTCGCTTGAATGACACAGGGTTTGAGGGGATTTTGTAGCTCTATCAGGGATTCCAAATTCAGGTTTTTAATTACAAAAGCAAATTAAATACTTCATCATAAAGACAGGCTGTACACACAATGTATTTAGAATGGCTCAAGTCTGGGTTTCTTCCAGGCACTCTTATTTCCAGCACTGGGTTCACAGAAAGGTAAAAGGACTTGCTGTTTGTTTTTATTCATTAGTTCTTCTCAAGACTTCCACAGAAAATTCAGTGCTCTCTAGGTGGAACTCAGTGTGACTCAAATAATCTGTTGCTTTTGGCCAGTGTGTGTTATATAAAAGAGGGAAAAACATATATTTGCAATATGTTTCACTAAAGCTAGTGTTTTGCCTGTTCTCCCAAGTTTTTTTTTAGTGGTCATGGGAGATTATCTGGTACGTCTCTTGGAGGGGAAGAGGTTTATGAAAAGTAGGTTCTAGTCTTGGTCTTATACGTAAGACTTAGAGTCTGGGTTTGCAGCAGCAACTTTGGATGATAAAACAGTGAAGAAAGTTGACCATAATGCTCATGGATATCTGCTAGGACACTGGGCTCAGGCTGCTGGAGAACAGAATATTTAGACACAGCTACAGAGGTTAGATGTATTCATCCTGGGTTTGTAGAAAATTACGTAGGGTCTTTTAATTAATTTGAGAGACACTGGAAGGAGTATGTGTGTGTGGCGTTGCGTGTCTGTGTGTGTGTACTGCATACAGGGAAGGGGGCTGATGAAGAGAGAATATATCTACATGGTACCCAGTTCTTATTCTCTATACTTACCTGTTCATCCCAGGGTTTAGTAGCTTCCTTGGAAGAATTGCTCCCAGTTGCAGACTGTCAACTTTGGCTTTTTCCGCCCCCCCCCCCCTTGTTGTTTTAGACAGACCACTCAGGATGCTCCTGAAGAGGTGCGTAACCGTGATTTCAGAAGGGAGCTCGAGGAGAGAGAGCGGGTCGCTGCAAGAGAAAAGAATAGAGACAGACCAACCAGAGGTGAAAACAAAGAAACAAAAATCTTAATACCTTTGTGTGATGTTGCTCTTGCACAAAACCTGGTGTCATAAGAAGTCTGCAGGTTGCAGACAGCACATCATGAGAGTAGAATTTAGGGTATTGGTCTGATTATTGGCCTGATAGTTCAGAACTGTTGACCTGCAAGGGTATGTCCGCTGGCTTTATGCTAGCAGAAGTCTAGGCCAGCCAACAGAAGAGCGTAGGGCATCATGCAGGCCAGCTGATACACTGTGATTGTAATGAATTGGCAACAAGTATGTACAGCTAATAAAGGGCTTTTTTTTGTACTTGGACAAGCGAGACAGGAAGGAGGAGGGGCATGACCCATCTTCTAGTGTTACAGCACCAGTGTAACAATAAATCTGTTTTTAAAGTATGCGATTCTGTTCAGATACAGTGAAGTGATAATTAAAATGAAAATCAAAGGGTTTTTTGAGAAATACTTATTTTTAGTATTGACCTTGTCAGAATTTAGGTACTCTAGGTTTAGGTGTGAAGGTATTGTGGGGCTTTCAAATTCACAGATGAAAGTAGATGTGGTTTGGACCAAACTAGCCAACAGTAATGCTTTTGGGTAGTCCTCAGTGGGAATCCTCCAACTGGATATACAGAATAAGGATATTTCTTATCAGGTTTTTCTTCTGCTATTCTTTCTTCATGAAATAATGACTTCAAAACACTTCTGGAGGCCAAATTGTAAGTTTGTGGATGTTATTGCTTCCCATAAGGACACCTGCAGAGGAGGAATTATGGGCATTAAGATTGAGAAGTGAGGAAAAAGTAAGCATAAGCTTGTATCTCTTACTGTAATGCAAGACAAATTGTGAAGATTTTTGCTTTCTGACATTGCTGTTAAATGAAATGTCTTAGTCACTTTTTTTTTTTTTAAATCTTATGCTATAGAACACACAACATCATCTTCTGTGTCAAAGAAGCCTCGACTAGACCAGATTCCTGCAGCAAATCTTGATGCCGATGATCCTCTTACTGATGTATGTATCTTTTTTTCTGTCTTCATTCCTTTCATTATCCTGTCTTCAGGATTTGTTGTTAATAGAATATGTACTTTTTGGTCTGCTAAAGATTTAAGATGGGTTCCAATGTATCTTCCTTTTACAGTTACTCTGCTGTGGTGGAAGTCCAGAGTGGTTCTGAGAGTTCTGGTCCATGCTGTAATGGTATTCTTGGAAAGCACACAAAAACTAGGGAACTGAAAATACCACTTAAAGTACGGGGACTTTTTTTTAGACTTGGTCATCTACTGGGTTAATTCAAATGCCTCAAAGGTAGAACTGTTGAGATCCACTGACTGCTGGCATGAGCAGTGGATTCTTACTCTTGGCTCCTCTCCTCATGCTGATGTCTAGGAGTTAGGTCTAAGGCTTGACAGCAAGTTCAGGTTTTTTTAATCCTGTTATATTTAGTCCCAACAGTATTGGATGGGATATTCAGGCACACTATTATGCCTTATGTTACAGTAATTAGCAAGTGATTTGGAACAGCCCAATCTCTAGAATCTGTCAGCTACATATCATTTGAATTATAAAAAAATAATTGCAGTCATCCAAAAAACACAAACATATTTTTGTCTTGACTTTACTGTACAAGAGCAAATGTACCATTTGTATTGAATTTGCTGCTACAAGCACCCCGGTACTTCACAAATTGGCCAGCAGCGAATTGCAGCCTTACTTGGGCAGACCAGGACTGTTTTTTATTAAATGAAATGAATGAGCTGCTTCTTGTTTCCAAATGTTGCTATTAGGAAGATGATGAAGATGAGGACTTGGAAGACAGTGATGATGATGACACTGCAGCTCTTTTGGCTGAACTGGAAAAAATCAAGAAAGAACGAGCTGAGGAACAGGCTCGAAAGGTAAAATCTCATCTGTTAAAGAGCATCTGTTTCTTGCAAACTGCTGTTGATTAAAACTGGTGTGCCTTAAGTACTTAGGATGAGTGAGAACTGGTAAAGTAAGTGTCTTCAAAACTCTTCTCAAGTATGATGGATTTGTCCTTCTATCTAGTAATCATTGTCAGTATTTTTTTTTCTTTAGTAGATATACTGAACATTTTACTTACTAAAAGTTTTTATTCACTTTCCTAGCACTTTGTAGAGGCAGTGAATCAAAATAATCTTGCTTTTCATACGCAAGTCCATCTCTGAAGACAGCTATTGTACCAAATAATATAGTGGCATTAGTGAGCTACATACTATCCAGTGTAATTTTGCTTGTTAACTACCTTTTGTGAAAGAAGAAATAAGATTTTTATTTATGAAATAAAAATATGTGTTCTTTTTGATGCTTTTCTTGTGGCTGTAAGTTTTATACAGTAGTTGCTCTTTCACAGCATTGGTGCTGTGTTGCCATGTCAAGGAACACCAGTTGTAACTATAAGACCAGAACAGTTTTCCTGTGATGATACACAGGCGAGTTTATTTGAAAAATGTCTCCCCAAAAATAAATAATAATAGGGCAGTCTTTCCAGAACTTAGAAAGTCAACTCAATGTAGCCTTCATATCTCCTATAATCTCTCTCTCTGAAGGTAGAAGCATCATGTTCTGCCCTTGAAAGGGGAGGGAAGTCCCTGTAGTTAGAGATTGTTTTCCCATGAGCGGGATCAAATCCTATGCCGTTGGCTTCCACATCTCCTTGGTGTAAGAGTGATTGTTGGGATGGAGTGCATTAGCAAAATCCCTGATTGATGAGTGGACTTCTAGGGACTGTTTTTGGGAATAGCCTGAGTTGTCAAACTGATCAGGATTTAGGATGAACTGTACTGGCTCTAACATCGTATTGCAACAGAACTTAGAGTCCAGGTACTTCATCTGCGTTACTGAAATGCTCTGCCTCTGGTGGTGCAGCAGAAGTGGTGGATATGTGCAGCATTCCTTCTGCTTTTAGTAAGTGCTTTCTTCTTTTGAATAGGGCTTAAATCTTTTTAGTGCTTTTGGAAGATGTTGCTTGCTTCAGTTTGAGTAGTTTTGTATGTTTTTATAAGTAGATTCTCCATTAGTGTAAAAAACAAAACAAAAAACCCAAAGCAAAGAAACAGAAAGAAAACCCATCCAAACACCCTCAAAAAACAAGCCACCTGTCATCTTTGTATAAGGTAATCTGAGATGGTTTTTTGAACATGCTAAATAAACATTTTTAAATGCTCATCAGTAGATTAATCAAAGGCTACTGTGGCGACTTTATGTTTTGGTGCCTCTGAACATTTCATAACCTTCTCTGTATCTTAACATACACACTTACAGTTTAATGTTTTCATGAATGCTCTCCAGTAGAGTCAACTGGCAGTGAACAGGGCATAGCATCTAGCAGACAATAGGAAGAGCTAGGAAACAACAGTGTTTTAACTGCTGTAGGCAGCAACGTAGTGCTTGCCTATTCTTGGCTAACAATATAGAAATTTACTTTTAGAATCAACAAGGCCTGTAAAACCAGTGAGCTCTGCAATTTTGGAGTTAGGTACTTTGGAAGATAAAAGCTGTACCATGCTGCTTCAGTGCAGATTTTTTGCTGTAGAAGGCTTGATTCTCCATCTGGCCTGTAAGTGATCTTTTACATTAAAGTGTGTCTGAAAGTGTCTCTCATCTCTTTATGTAGGCATTTGTAGCACATCACAGCAATGAAATTGTGTTCTGCAGTAATAATGTATTGAAAATGATGTAGTAATAATGTAATAATAATGTGGTGAAAATGACTTAACACTGGCAACAATTCTTCCTTGTATTCCTTTGTGTAATGTACTGAAGTACAAATTCAGGGTAGTAATATGTAGGAAAGACTTCTACTTCAGCTGTCCTTGCACAGTGCTTAAAATGAAAGCTGTATGGATTTCTCAGTTTTCCTGAAATTATACATTTAGATTAAACAGCATAACTTGTCACATTTTAGTGCAGAAAACCTGCATTAGGAAAATAATGGTAGTAAATTGCAGCTCAGACAACCAAATCCATGCTTCTCTGTTCATGTGTACAAAGCAAGAATGTTATAATCTGTATGAAATTTGTACTTTGTCACTAGAGGGTGCCAAAAGCTATGAAGTATTTAGTATAGCCCTTGTTTTATTTTTCTGTCTTTTAACTGGTATTATTTTTGACTTTCACAGATGTTCTTTTTCTACCAGAAGCAGGGTTTATAATGTCCAATTCTATCTGCATACTGAATACTTGCACTCTGGTCTGAAATGAATACATTTGTTTTTTCCTAGAAATTATTATTAGTTATTTATTTGCAATAGTGCACACTATCGCACACTCACTATCTACTCTGGTCATCCTTTCACTGGTTGGTGGCAGATAGGCTCTCTTTAAAATTGACATCTTCGGTAAATAGTGGTTGCTTTACAGGTACTTGGAATTCTGTTTTCTTGGGGTTTTTTGAGAGTAGCAAACTAAGACTATGTTGATGCAAAAAGTAAAAACCAAGGTGGGGGGCCCAGCCTTGGAAAGAGTCTTTAGGAGTAAGGATCTCCTTAGGAAAGATCACTTAGGTATGTTGGCTTTGCAATCTGTTTAGATTATGCCTTGTTTTCCATGGCTTTGAAATAAGGTGTCACTGACAAAGCATTTTATAGCCATTTTATATAAATCCCTTTTTCCATTCAGATATAGGGGATTTCATATTATTATGTACTGCAAACCGTAATTTAAACCTAATTTTGTAAGTTACCTTATATTAGTCATCCAGATGACTTCAGGATAATATCTCATGTAAATTCTGAGTTGTGTAGTCAGTTAGTCTTGATCCATGTACAGGGATGATTTATCTGCTGAAATGCTGCTGTCCATAGTAGACAGCATGGGTAAACCAGTGGCAAGGCAAAGGGAAACTGCAGAGTGAATGTCTGTTTGCTCTTCTGCCCATCATTCTCAAATTTCTTTGTTGTTATACAGACAGATTAATGTGTCTCTGCATCTTCTTGGAACATGCCAGGGTCTGAACAAGGTGATATGGGTAAAATACAGCAATTTATCCCAGATTTGTGCCATATGTAATTTTTTTCCTGTTACTTTAGTTATTTTGATTTATTAAAATGCTAGTCCAATTATTTCTGAGACTTCATTTAGAGTAAACTGTATTAACTGTTTTCACTCACTGCTTTGGTGTTGAGTATTTCAGTTGCCATGAAAGGACTGCTGCTTTTAAAACGCATCTCTGGTGAGACAGCAGTTAAAAACAAAAGATGAATCTGCTATTTTTCAGATCATCATGCTTTCTGTTAACTTCCCTTATATAGTAATACCAATTTCCATAGAAATCCTCTGAATCTAATTTTGACAAATATTATTAAGTGGTGTTAACTTTCTTTACACTGGTATTTCCCTGTAATATGTAAAGCAAATAGTTTGTCAACCAAATAAGCAATTCCTGTCAAAGCTTGTTAACTTCTCAAAATGCTTAAATTCCCTTGAGTTCTGTAGAAATATTAAATAAATGCTACGAATGTTTTTAAAAACTGATTGAGCATGGGAATCCTTCTGACTTTTCTCACGCTCTCCTCAGTTTTAATCTCCCAGGTTGTTTCTAGCAGACACTAAACTAACCGGGAAATTTTAGTTTTAAAAACCATTTCTCTGGAATAATTCTGGGTCTGTCTAAAACTGTACAAACACTAGGTGTGCTGTCTGTGTGAACTGTCCACGGATAGGTTTCATGGAAAAATTTAAGTATTCCAAATTCAGCATTACAATGCTCATGATTTTCAATTTTCAAGCACTTCCTTGAAAGGTAAATTGAAATAATTAAAAACAAACCTCAAACCAGTGAGCAGCTGTATGTACATTTGCAGTGCAAAGCTATTAACATCCAGTCGTTTTATGCTTATCTGAGAACAGAATTAAAGTTTTTGGTTTATTTTCTTAACAATTTTATTTCATGAAGTGTTTCCCTATAACTGAATATATTGCTTTACTTTATATTACATATTACTTTATGGTCAAAATAGATCTTAGCTCTGTCCTTTGTTTTAGCAATGTCACACACTTTTAAATAAAACATTAGAAGATGAATCTTGATGGATTCTAACCTTTTCACATAGAATTTAAGGGTCTAACTAAAACAAGATTATCAAATTGGTGATTAAGAAAGAATTTCAGTATAGGCAAAAGCAGATGGCAAAGTATGTTTCTTCATTAAATGTTTGAGACATGCTAGCAATACTTACCCTTGCCAAGATTTAACAGTAATGTCCCCTCCCTTGTGGGCAAGATGACAACAAATTTGAGTATAGACACTGCAGTTGTGATTACTCTATGCTCTTATTTTTTGAAGTTTCAGTTGCTTGAATCGCTGTATTGCATAGGGTTAGTAATTTGCATAGGATCAAATAAGTGGGGTGGATCTCTGCATTATTAAGTTTCGTTCCCTGCTGCTAAAGGCAGTGCTGTCATAGTTCGTCATTCAAAAATTAGCATTTAAATAAGGTTGTGAGAGTATTTATTTTTTTCAGCTTTCAATGAAATGCGGGTATTTCAGGTGTTCTTTCAGCTACTCAACATCTCTAAAAACTGAGTAGGATAACTTACTTCAATACAATGGAGTCATTTCAGGAATTTCAGCACTTTCTGTAAAAGTAATCTTGCTCTGTGCTAAGGGTAGGAACTATACTAAAAAAAAATAACCATGGTAACAATAATGTTTTTCTTTCCTTTGTGGTCAGAAACAAATATGCCAAGGGACTGTTATTCTTACAGCAAGATAAGAAATAATTGTTTAGTTAAGGTTAATACAGTTTTGTCCACTTTTTTTTCCCCCTGCTGTGATGCCACATGGTGAGCTCAACTGTGAGAGCTGATTCACACAGCAGCATCTCCATCTGCTTCCTCAGGGTGTGGGACTCCCTCTGCCAGTCCAGCCTTACTCCTCGCACCATAATATTTCTGTTCTTTTGCCTCTGCCTCTAACACGGTGATTACAAGATGGTTGATGCCTGATTCATCCCTGCAGATAGCTGGTACAACATGCTGCCATTGAAAAGCTGTAGTGATAGAATAATCTGTAGCATGGTTTTTTTGTTAAAATGGCTTAGGAAAAGAGTTGTATACCTGCTCTTGGTGAATGAAAAGGCAGGCAAAGAAGCCTTATTTTAGAAAGAGTGGGGTGAATACAGAGGTATTAATTTTACCCTTAGGCTTTTCTTCTGTTGTGGGTTTGTTGTATCCGCAGTGTTTTAGCTTAATAAGCCTTTGTTCCACCACACAAAAGAGCAATGTAGGCTTTGGAGCAACCGGAGCAGCTTATTTTGTGAGCAGCTGTGCTTGATCGTGCCTCAGAGGTGTGAAGCTCAGACAGCTATGAAGGTTATGTCTGGTCTGTTTGATTTGATACAGCCCATGCTCCATTGCCTGGGGCGTCCCAGCTTTCAGTGGAGGAGTGGGCAGTGGAAGATTTGATCTGTGTGGAAAATTCTGAAACATAATGAAAACCTCTTTCGGCTGGAGATGAGAGATTCTGCAGCTCTGGCCAAAATGCGTAACTTAGCTTAAGTGTAAATGTCAACTTTACACCACTGTGAGTTACACTTAGTATTTCCTCCATGTCATGACTCTAAGATACAAAACTTAGCAAATTATCTTTATTTTAAATCTTGGATACCTTCTTTGGGAGGTTTTAGTGAAGCTAAATAACACAAAAAATCTTCAAGACTGATCTTCAGAATTAGCTTGCTTTCTAAAATGTGTAGCAAATATGCTGAAATGTCATCCAACCTAGAAAAGCTTTGAACGGCTGAATCCCATAAATAACCATGCACATCAGGTCTTTTTTGTAAAGTGACTAAAACTGGTGATGCCTTGGTCAATAGATCTGTTCGCTGTTTGCTTTCAGACTCTAATCTATTGATCTTTAACAACAAAGATAAGCTTATGAAGTTTGTTACTACTTCTAGTTGTTCTGCCTCTGTGGGTCTAAAAGATGGCAGAGTTCTGTTTGTGAGCAGAGCTGAGAAGCAGCGAAGGGTTGCACAAAGTGCCCAGGCTCTCTGTATCAGGGCTTACTGTGAATATGGAAAATCAGCATTTGAAAATAAAATTAATGGATGTTTTCTGTAACTATTGTCTCTATAAAAGAACACTTGACAGCTACTGTTAGCATTAAGTTCATAATTGTTTTTACTAATTTAATAGATGCAAAAGTAAAATGTAATAATTTTAAATTCTCAAGGTTGCCCCTCCACTTTGTTAATTATAGTGCAATGTTTTGCTACCCTCCAGTCCTCTGGAAGTGTAGCTGACTTGAGTCAGTGTAGGTTTTTTGCTAGCAATTAGCAGTTTTAGACAGAATTCCGTTGTGTTTGAAATGCCAAGTCGTTGGGGTTAATGTACAAGTTACGTATCCCAGCTTCCATGGTGGTGCAGTAGAAGTGCAGTTAGTAGAGCCTGGAGTGTGGTTGGTCTCCTGTGTGTGTAATTTAGTGTGAGCAGAAGAGCCATCTTGACTCCTTACCGTATTTTCTGCTGAGATGTGAGCTCAGGTGCCTACAAGCAGATGTCTAGATGTAGGTGTCTTAATCTGGACCTAAATCCTACCCTTAGTCTTATGCTACTGCTTGTAGTATAGTGCTTAAGTGTTACTTCTTTTTTTTTTTTTTTTTTCCTGTTACCACATTTTATCACTTCAGTCTGATAATGCTTTTTTTCATTATCAGAATGGGAACTATGCCAGGATAATTGCGGCTGAAGGATATTGCATGGGTTATGTAAAGCAGATAAAAGTTAGGATGATGCCTAACATGCCTTTTAAAAATACTATAGAAAAGTTAAATGTGCATCTGTGTGTAATAAGAACACTGAAGTACTGTGTGCATATTTTTTATGATTCTTAATATTGGCTTAATCTTCCTCTAGTGATTCTGAATGTTCACAATTCATTTAAATGACTGTTTGAATGCTTTTCACTTCTCTCTGTGCGTGATGGAGGATGCTGGAACCATCAGCTTTGTAGGAACTGTTGAGATTAAAACTGAAATGGGAGAAGAGAGAGGGAAGGACTGCAGTTCCCCCCAAAAGATGGTGACTGACTCCAGTGGACTTTTGACCATCGAAGAAACAGTGTGTGTGGAGTGCATTGTAGTTCTGTATTTGTCAGTGTTGCATGTGGGTACATTTTCATGCATCATAAAAAAACATCATAAGATAGTTATGTGTGCCCCAGATAAAGTGATGTGATACACAGGTTCAGTAACTTTGGATCATGACCAAGGTTAACATCTTAGAAATTTGAGGACGAGGCTGTGCCATACTCTGCATGCCATCTTGAGAGGAGTTCCCCTGGGATTCTCTAAAATGGAAAAGTGCTTTGTCTGTCTGCATATATAGGACTTGGAAGAAGGTCTCTCTACAGCAGCATTTTTCAACAGGGAGTATTAATTTCTCACCATGCTCTTATTAGTGCTACCCTCTCTTGAGTATAGTCCAGTATGAATTTTTGGTCTGTAGCATTCTTACTTGCTTTTAAGATTTGTCCCAGACCTCTTGCTTTTTTTTGAAGTCTCACTTTTAATGGAGCATTGGAGATTAAATCTAATGATGCGGAGCCTACCTCATCTCGGACAACACACAGAACACTTCACATGCTTGCGTCCTGTTGTAAATTTGCCTAATGGTCTCAAACAGAATGTGACTGCCTCTTGGGAGGTACCTGAAAATCTATACTGATTTCTGTAGTTTGTATCAGAATGCTGGATTTTGCCTGGTTTCAAATGAGTGCTTTACACGCATGTGCTGTACGGCTGTGAGGGCTGCTTGACTTCTGGTGGGAACACATGTCACAGGCTGCAGTAAATTAGCTTTCACTGCTGTTGGCTCTTCCCTGTTATGGGGAAAGAAGATGGTAAATCAGAGGTTGGCACGCTGTGCAGAATAAACTGCCCACATTTCTTTTCCGTAATCCAGAGAGGAAAGAAACATATAATTTGAATTTGTATTTCTAATATAGGGGGAAATTGCTGTTCCATATCAAATACTTTTGTTCTCTGTGTTTCCTTATTAAGTGGGGTGGTAATAACAACTGAAGTTGGAATGCAAACGTTGGATTTAGAGCTATGTTTGAAAATGTAAAACTTCAGTTTATGTTGTGTTAGCTTTTAACTCCTGCAGTTTGTGTTAAAGCTCCATTGATAGAGCAGCAAGGGCAAGTTCTGCCTACGCAGATGTTTTAATAAGGGCATTACAGGGCTTGTCCTGAAGCTGTGCCATCTTTTAAGCAATGTGCCCTTTTGGGGAGCTTTTCTCATCCTACTAAAAATTGCAGCTGATTCTAAATGTTATTTGTGAGAAGCAGTGTAGTGGTAGGTGCTTTTTCATAGCTAAAACTCAGGTAGATTTTGAAAGGTAAAATATTTGCCATTGATCCTGCATCATCTGATATTCATATGTATGTTGGTATTGTTCTTAGGAGGGTTGGGTTGTTTCATAAGAATTGTTCATATATCTGATCAATCCAATTGTAAAACACTGAATTGTAGATAGTTTTAGTAATATATCACTTAGTACTGATTAAATGTTTGAAGCTAGAGAACTCTGGTTAACATCAGTGTTCAAGTTTAGCACTTAAACCTTGTAAATACTATCATTAAGAAAAATGTTTCCTCTTTTGGGATCCCATAGCAGCCCTCACCCATGAATTTTCTGCAGTTTGGGGGGAAAAAAAAACAAACAAAACCCAACCTGGTGATCTTTTTCTCTTTAGTTTATATGATTTTTAAAAGCCATGGTTTGAGTCTCCTGCAGTGCTAATGAGATTTCATTGCATTTTTTAACTCAAATGTCTTCAGACCATAATTCAGCATACAATCCTTGTAATACATTTGAAAAGTTGTGGGGAAATGCGATGATGTAAAATGAATATTGCATATTCATTCTGAAGTCTGTGAACATTTAAGTCACTAAATAAATTAATACAGCTTGGAAGTGTGGGCAGTGATATCTACTTTGAGTTGCCTGTAGTGCATTGCTTCACTTGGGCCTGAGTCATGTGCTTTTGACAGTACAAGGAGAAGAAAATTTTTCTGCTGCTTGATATTGGAACTCTTAAATAGTCTTATGACATCCACTGCTCAGTTTCACCTTAGCTTTCTCAATATTCTTTTTAATTGGTCCCTAGGGAAGTTGTAATTGTAAAACCCAAGCAGCTTGCTGAAGACAGAGGAGTTTTAGCATGCTGTAAGGTTTCTTCCACCTAATGAATATTGTATAACGTACTCTTTTTTTCTCATAAGGGTAAAGAAAATCTTTTAATCTGTATACAGTTTTTAATATAATAAATATGTAAGTGGTAAAGCTAGAATTTAACTGAATATTTGATGTAACATCAGAGGTAAGTGAAGCAGCTATGAGTGTTGCTAGATTGACAGTTTATTAGCAATGTTAAGCTGTTTAGAGTATCTCTGCTTCTATCCTTATTCTACTCATGCGCATGTCAAATGCTCTGAAAAGTCTGAGGTAAGAATTAAAGCTCTCTCTGTGTGAGTGTTAAATAATGTGTATTGCTACCAACTAGGTGAGAAAAGTGGCCTAGAGAAGTAATATATCCGTTTCTGGTTCTCAGGAACAAGAGCAAAAGGCTGAAGAAGAAAGAATTCGGATGGAGAACATTCTGAGTGGTAACCCACTGCTGAACCTTACCGGCCCAGCGCAGCCTCAAGCCAACTTCAAAGTGAAGAGGAGGTACAGTGCAGTCTGTCCTGTGATAGCCATCCCCTTGCTCACTCTCATTACTCAGTCAGAAGATGTTAGCACTGCTGTTCATTTTTATTTCCTTCCTTAGATTTTGTCACAAGTGGTGTAATGTAGAGTTGGGATACTGATGTATGTATATTGGTGCATTTCTCTGAACAAATCGTCCTGCTACTTTGTGTTTAAAAAAGAGAGAAAGAGAGATTGAGAGCTGTGTTTGTCTGACATTGTGCATAATGAGACAAAAAGTAATAGGACCAAAGCTTCTTGGGAAATTTGATGTTATGCTTCCCTTTAAAATCTATCTAGTTTGGGGTTTTATTTATTTTGGGTTTGGTGTAACTAGAATCAATGAATAACAGCCTTTTTCTCAATACCTTTTTCTCAATAGAGTACTTGTTTGCAGATATTCCAATTACTGTTGCATTTATCAAAATTAGGGACATTAGATTAACGGGTTTTTTTCTGCTCTGTTCAATTAGTCATTATTTTCTGTAAAAGTAAAATAATCTTTAACCTATTGATACTCATCTCTTCTAACTCAGGAGCGTGTAGAGGTTGGCTTGGATTAAAAAAAAGATCTTTTTTTCTTCAAGACTAAAATCTAATCCTAATAACTAGTTGTTCTTAATACACTTAAATAGGAGGGCCAAACTTCATTTACATATTTTTGTAAATTGCATATAATTTTCACACAAACTTACTGAAGTTATAAACTTTTGTTTTCAGATGGGATGATGATGTTGTCTTCAAGAATTGTGCCAAGGGATTAGATGAAACAAAAAAGGACAAAAGATTCGTGAATGATACTCTGCGCTCAGAATTTCACAAAAAGTTCATGGAAAAATATATCAAGTAATACAGTTTTATGTGCGGTGGTGCTGAAGGACTTGGAATGTCATGATTGTTCCCTTCCTCTTCCTCAAAATTCAAGGCTGAATTCCTTCAAGGAATTCCTTCAAGGAATTCAAGGTCATGAATTCCCAAATGCTTTTCCAAGATCAGCAACAGCTTCATAATTAATAATTGCTATGTATCTGGAGTTTTTATTCCTTTAGTATGTTTTTCCTTTCAGTTTTAATTAAATCAGTCTGTGTTTCATTAATGTTTTTCTGTTCATGCACATTTACTTTTACTGGCCACCTTGTAAATGGTAGAAGAGAGAAGCTGGTTTGCAGTAAATACTTGTTTAAATTGCTTTCCAAATCAACCTGTGTTTGTAGTGATGGTAGTTTGTAACTTACGCAACTTATGTAAATGTCAGTATTATCAAATATGGGGAATAGCTGAGTATGATAAGCAGTGTGAACTGAAGAGATCTGTACTTTCTGTAGCAAATTGGACTTCCTCTTAATAGCTAGTTAGAAACTTAGTTAATAATCTTCCTTTTTAGCTTCTTCTTACTGTCCACTGAGTTGTGGTTTGATGGGATAGCTCCAAGTTCTGAGCAGCCCTGCTTTCTGGGCTCTCTTGGCTGAGCGCTTCCGGAGCAATACCATAGAATGCCTGGGGGAGCCTTGAGTGGGGAACACTCTGTGGAACCGTAGGGTTTTTTCCTCATTAAAAAAAAAAAAAAAACCCAAAAAATATTACAGTGCTTGGTCCTTCAGCCATAACCATGTGGCTGCAAGGTTCAGTCCGTGTGCGTGGTTCAGTAGTAATAGTGTTGTCAGACTTGCAAGTGAGTGTTTTTATTAAACAAGTGATCTCCTCAAGATACCGTAGTACGCTTTGTTTACTTCTTAAATGTCTATTTGAACACTTAATAGGACAATATAAAATATGAATGACTGAAAAAGATCTCAGTTGTGAAAGGATTTTTTTTTTTTTTTTTTTTTTTTTACCCCCTCTTCTGTCATCTCGGTTGCATTGAAATCCTGTCAAGTGATGCACTGGATATGAACCTAATATTTGCAGAATGTAGTAGATACCTTTGCTGTGAAGGCTACACTGGCAGAACTCAGATCTGTGTTTCTGTAAAATTCTTGTACTTTACCTTGCCTGTGCTATGCTCAGTCTAGTTCATTCTTACATACAGTTTCATAGTGATACTATGATTTTCAAGCTCTTACTTTGAAAATGTATCTGATTTTAAGAAAGTAAATGTAGGGCACAGTGTTTCAGTTTTTTGTTGGGCATGACTGTATGGGTATCCTGTAAAAGCTTTCATTAGCTTTAAATGTATTTTCCACCCTTTCATTAAGCTATGCATGGTGTATTAATGCCAGCAGCTAATACCCATATTTACTTGAAAGCAAGATTTTCAGCATGCTTAAGGTCATGTGAGCTCATACAGCTGCTGGGGGAATATGTGTTTGTGTTACTTCTGCTACGTGCCTTGTGGTAGTCATGATTCTTGGGAAGCAGAAAAATGGGTGTAGTTTGTAATTCTCTCTCTAAATTAAAGCTACTAAAGTCTTGGTATATAGGCAACGTATTAAGAAGGGGAAAAAAAGTTAAAAGTGTACTTGTCAGGGTCTGGCAGTGGTGAAGCCAGCTGCTGCTTTAGGTCTGTCCTAACAGCATAGCTGTCATGGCAACAACAAAAAATACATTGGTCTCCCAGTATCACAAGATACAATCACTGTGCCAAAGTGAGCAAGTGAATATACAGATTTATTGGAGAGGGGGGGACATAGCTGAAACGCCAGTTCAGTGCCTTCATGGAAATCATAAGTGCATAATGCCATCATTTGTGTTCTTGAAGTAATGTAACTCTTCTTAGAGAAAATAATACTTATAAGAAGTCAGATGGCTGGGTTGGATGAGGTCTTTGTCAGATATACAGGCAGTTGCTCTCCACACCTGTAGGGACCATATGTATAGCTCCGGGCTGCAGTTTTACTTGAGGTTTTTTGTTGGCATTGTTGTTCAGCTCAACCACAGAATTTGCAGATCCTATCTCTAACTTCCCCCTCAAAGCTTTTGTATTTTAGCCTCCTGCAGTGTAAGCTGACCCACAATCTGAGGACTCAGCAATACACAAACACAATATGATAATTAAGGACTCTCAAGCCTTATCTTTTGGTGGGTTTTGCATCACTAACTACTGAGTTTTCTTCACCAGTACTGGAAAAGTAAAGTGTTCTATGTTTTTTGTTGAAGAGCTTTCAGTATTGATGCTGTATTGATGTTTCATTTTCTGCTGTGCTTCTTGTACTTACCTAGGAAAAGACAAGCAGATCATTTGTTTTTGCAAAACTACAGTGTGACTGAGTTCTTAAAAAAAAAAAAAAAATCAGACTATGATGTTCTACAGCTCTGCTTTCAACATATTTTTTTTTCAGGAACCACTGTTCAGTATGACAAATAACTTTCAACAAAGGCAATGGAGTTGGCAAGGCAGCAGTTCCAGGAGGTGAAGTGGAAGAAAGTTAACATTTGGCACTTTAAGGAGTGCAATATTTTACAGTTCCTAGCAATCAGGATTGTTTAATCCTGTGGTTTTGTAAGCAATACCTGAACTCACTGTAACTGGTGGCTTGAACCAAAGCCACTTGCTTTATAAACCATTTCCCCTTTGCTTATGGTTGTCTTCAGTGTAGCTTTGGAACTGAAATCCAGAATCTGTTTTCCATGGGGACTAACAGTTAAACTTCTAAGGCTTTTTAAAAAAAAACCTTGTCTTTCAAAATGTTTATTGTAATATGTTTTATAGTTGTAAGGGGATTAATAGTATGAGGAATAATGTTTAATGATCGTCCTGCAACTGGAGATAATTGTGCTGTGTCTATACAAGGTTCTAAAATGTTTAGCATCTAGTTGTCTTCCTCAAGTAGATGGCTGAATATTAAAGGCTTCATATTGCAACCAGCAAAATTGTTAACTGCATTTTTCAGGATTTCAGATAGTCATAGGTACCATGTAGGCATCCCATGAATGCTTGGAAGGAGATTTAATTTTTTTTATTCATTTATTTTTAAAACCCCCACCTTTTTAGTGAGTTCCAGTTCCTCTGTTAACTTGGATTTTGTCTGAAATAAAATCCTGGGGCAGAGGTGATCTGGTACTTGCTCTGTTTACCTTTGAGTGCCCCATGGACAGTCCAGCTGGTGCCTGGTATGGTGACAGCCTGGTGTCTCCTTTCAGCCATGCACTTACTGGTTCCCAGGAAGCTGCTGAAAATTTTCTCTGCTTTTGACTACAACTACAGATACCTTGAAGTCTTTCATGCTGGAGGCGAGATCTGAGCACAGGGTCAAACCATCAAATGGATGGGGGATGCTGCCTTGAAGTGCTTCACTTCAAAGGAAGGTCTGTAGGATTGAAGCCTTGAAGGGATGTGCTAATGCTCAGAAGGTGCTTCAGGCTCAAGTGTTTATTCCTCTCTGCCGTCATGGCTAGTTGGAGCCTGAAGCTTTAATTATCATCTAAGGAAAGTCAGAATCCCATGTAGGGGCTTCTCTGATTTTATTTCTTTCTTGGTGCCAAGTGATCAGCAATACAGATTGAGGGGGGGAGGGAAAGAAAATACCCACAGAAATGTTTCCATCCATGGAACTCCTTCTTCTATCTCTTGTCAACTTTTAGAATTAAATTTAGTTAATTGGTGGTCAAGAAAAATCTTCCAGCCAAATTTTGTCTTGCTTTTTTGGGAGAAAAATGTTGGGATGCTTCTTCCAAAGAAATAAAGTCAATGTTTTGTTGTTCAGCTACTTTTTCCCTAGGCAGACTGACATATAATCATATTTAGTGATAAAAGCAAATATGGCCTTATTACTGTACTTGGGTCCCCCAAGATGTGGTTCAAGGAGAGTGTAAATAGGCACATTTGGAAAAGTCATGTTTCCTAAGAAAGGCTCCTCTGAGCTCTCTTTTTGAAATGGGGATGAGCAGAAATAAGAATAATGTTTCTGTAGGTGTCCAAGTCCCTCATTTTAGATAACTTTTTAAAAACCCCAACACTGAATTCTTAAGTTGTTCAATCACAGATATATTTTACCATTGTGCCTTGATCCTCCTTTGACTGAGATCATACAGGTTGGCTTTTATGAATTTCACATTTGTCTTTGTTTTCTTGTCATAGGTGGGCATATCATGGGATGTAACTGAAGAAGAATGACTATGATACTGTGACTGGCAGGGAAATAAGATTGAAAATGAAATAGTGACTGTCTAGTTTTTTAATTGCTTTAGTTCAGGGAGTTGGAATATACCTAAGGGATGTGATAAAAGTGTCTGTGTGTAGTATGTTGGGAATTTTTCCCCCTTGTAGTGTCTGACCAGTGGTTCAGCAGCAGAAGCTTAATGTCACTGATCTTATCAAAATTTGATCTTTCAAGTGGGAAATCATGGCTTGGTGATTTTAAAAAGATCCACATAGTTGCTTGGAATTTCAGTGTGACTAGTGCAGCTCTAACAAGAAGGAGGAGTCATCTAGATCTAAACAAATCATGTCTCCAAACCCAAATCCCAATTTGCCACCAAGCCTAATAAATACCTTCTGAAGTAGAGGGAAGCAGCACCGTACACCAGGTAGAAAAGTGAAACAGAGAAAATTGGTGAGTCTGCTCTGTTGAAATACGTATCATCAGGATAGGAAAGGAAGATGATTTCTAAATTGTACTATAATACAGTGGGGTTCTGTTATGATAGGTTTTAGGGAAACAGAGGCTGTAAAGCAGGCTGTATTCTGAAGAGCCTAAATGTTCAGAAGTTTGAGTGAATGGCAGGATGGAGACAGACTGTTCAGTTCCACAAAAAACGGTATTTGGAACCTCTGCCCTCGGTACCTGCCCACTGCCTTACCTAGATCTGCCCTTTCTCCCATCTCTTTTCATAGAAGTACTCTTGTTAAGAAGTTGGGCTGTTTTTCTATTTTTCAATTGAGTTGCTTCCAGTGGACGGGATTTCAGGCAGCTTGTCTTCCTCCAGTGGAAAAGGTTTATTTTTACTGCACTGGAGAACCAGTTGTAAGTTTGAGCTGGATAAGGGTGGAGAATAGGTCTGCCAGTTGTCTGTTTGCTTTCAAATGGGGTTCCCTGAGGTTGATCTCTGTCCTTTGGGGTGGTCTGGTTGGACTTGGTGGCACACAGGTAGTTGGGTTTGCTGGGGTGCATGGATGGTATGCTCTGCTGAAGCATCACGTGCTGAACCACCGCCTCTGTGGGTGGTTGAATCCTAGCACTGAACATTTGGATATTTTTGTTTCAGGAAAAATTAGCTCTCTGAGGAAAAAGTCTGTTCTGACTGAAATCTGCATTAATTCTTCTGGTATGTATGCATTCTAGACGTCCTGTGTTTGTGTGCCCCAGGTAGGAGCCCAAGATGCACCGTCGTGGTGAGACCAGCATGATTCAGAGTTCTGTGAATGTTCTTGTTGAATTTGACCTTCTGGTGCAGACCAAAGTCACAAAAATGTCACAGTCCCTTTGAGGGCAATGAGCTTGAACAAAACTGATCATGTAGCCTGATTCATGACCTAGTTTGCAAAGTCTGATACTCCTTGTGTGCTGGTTACCAGCCCTCACGCTCAGTGTGTGACAGTCTCGGTCTCCTCCCTTGCTCTGGAGAGGAACTGCAGCTGGAGGCTGCTCTGAAGCCAGGCAGCAGCAGAGGTTGTCAACACCAGACAGAAGAGTGGAAGAAGTTGGGGTCCTGTTGGGTTTCTTTCGTCTGATGAACTGTCACTTACACCTCTTAAAGGACTCTGTTAAACGAACTTTCCCCAGCAAAACCTACTCCCGCTAGCAATATATGGATTCATCACATTTCTTA